TTCGTAGATTTTCGTAGACTCGATTTCGAGATCTCGGGATTGACTGCACCGATTTCATTCGGACTGGTTTCAATCGAAAGCTCGTATCGACATTATATAGCGAAAGTGTCATTAGATTTTTCATTAAAACTTTCGTTTCCGAGATATTAAAAATCGGAAATCTGACGAGGCAAAACTTCGAGATAAAGCTAAGCGGTAGCGTAATGCCAGTGCCGTATACTCACAAGTCATCACCCGACTTTTATTTTATATATATTATTTTATATATACTTGGCGTCGCGCCGCTACCGCAGCGCTTGATATATATATAATTTATATATTTTATATATAGAGTAAAGCGTAATTTGGTCAACTATTTTTTAAACGATTCTAAAGCTCGTATTTTTTCGAATTTCGTGAAACCAAATATACCGTTGGAAAGGTAAAAATCTAGCGCAACTTTTTCTTGAATATACCTACCTTCTATCTCATCGCAAAAAAATATGATTATTTTCCCGAAACACAATAAATCGAGATTTTTTTTTGCGTAATTTATTCAACCATATAAATTCTAAGAATTCTTAAAAAATAAATCATAAAATAAAGCCAAAACAGCATATTTTCAAATTTTAATTATTTTTTAATTAATTTCATTAAAAAAAAGCACAAAAAAAGCACACGAACATTGAAATTAATCTTCTATCTGCGAGTGCTCAGAATCGCAATGTACGCAGATGTAATAACCGGCTGTTATGTTTACGCATTTAAAATAGACGGCCCGTTTGCACGTATTACAATCTTGAGTTGAAGCAATTTAACTTTTTCGACATCTCTTTCATACAAATGATGCAGAAGTTTTCTTCTTCCGAGTTAGAAGATGATGGTGCACCGCCCGTACAAAGTGATTTTTATTAAAAGATCGTCATCGCTAATTGTTGAAAAATCGTCGATATGCTTATCAAGCTGCAAAACATACCGATTCTTGTTCTATGAATATCGTATGACAAAGCAACGCTTTGTTTCGATTTCTTCCCCAATTTTATTTCTTTAATGGCATTAAACAATGCAGTGAGATCTTTTGCTGGACGATCAGTTTTTCGCTTCCGAAATCCCATTCTAATATTTAAAAAATGTAAAAAAATTATTTAAAAATCCAAAAAAATACCAAAAATAAGTCTATATGCATTTATATGTAACGTTCAGTGCTTCATCTGTGAACATGTGAAAAAATCCATTGACCAAATTACGCTAACCAAGCTTGTTGAAAACAATGGCGTAAAAATTTTTCCACACACTTCATACCAAAACGCAATTAATCACATGAAAGAGAATAAAAAACAATATCATAACACACATTACCTGCATCAAATTATGAATAAATCACCACTTCACAAAATAAAATGTATGGTCAATTTTAATTATTTTTCACAATTTTTTTGCTTTGTTCTGCCGAACAAAAATTAACACGTCTATTCAGCTCTGTATCTCATCAAAAGTGATCTAATACAATGACAATTTAATGACATGAACGACAACTGTCTAGTGCGACTGCAGCGTTCAAAAAATGTTGTTGATCAAATTACGCTATGATCAAATTGCGCTACTTTACCCTATTTATATATATGTATAATACGGTCATAGCAGGATCTTGGTGCTTCTAATATTTCTGTGCGATTTTACATACATATTCTAGAAGTTCAATGAACTGCTTGCCGTTACTACGAGTTGCCGTTGTGGATATGCTCGACAATTTCTTTTACCTATGTATATATTTATAACTTTTTTATTAATAAAAATAAATACATTTTCTTTTTACTATTTTATTTATTAAAATCTGACGTTTTGGTTAAAAGAATTTATAACATATTCATTTTTATTGCAATATTTTTACATAACACTTTGTTTCCGTGACAGAACATATAGGGTGATTACTAATTACAAGGAGCGTTTAAGCCAAACTGGGACTTTTAATTTTATGAGCAGAAGAGATCCTGAGTGAATCTTATTAATCATGCTGATTAGTTACAAGTGTCTTCTAACGCCGTCGCGGGCGACATTAACGCCACTATACTTTACTTTTTAAGCAATATGGCGCGAACCATGCCAGTTCAAAAACTAAACAGCGTGTTGTAATGAAATTCCTCGTGAACGAAGGCGTAAAACCTAGTGAAATTCATAGAAGACTTTAAGCACAGTACGGAGATCAGACTTTTAGTCGCAGTAAAACATTTGAATGGTGCCAACATTTTAAGAACGGCCATAAAACAGTGAGTGACGATCCCGGCCGAGGCAGATCGGTGCCCACTGATTTACGGCCGTCCTTAAAATGTTGGCACCATTCAAATGTTTTACTGTGGCTAATTAAGTGTCTGATCTCCGTAATGTGCTTGAAGTTTTCTGTGAATTTCAGGTTTTACGCCTTTGTTCACGAGGAATTTCATTAAAATACGCTGTTCAGTTTTTGAACTGGCATGGTTGCGCGCCATATTGCTTAAAAAGTAATTCGCGTGGCCTGCGACATTAACGCCCACCATACGGCGTTAGAAACCACTTGTAATCAGCATGATTAATAAGATTCACTCAGGATCTCTTCTTCTGCTCATAAAATTAAAAGTCCCGGTTTGACTTGAACGCCCCACGTACGAGATAATTTAATAACAATTTTTTATTTAACTTTTATTATTTTTATTACTGAAATAATCTAAATGTATATATTTAATATTGGATAGCAGAATATAAATATAATTTCAAGAACTTATAACAGAATTGCATTGGATTTAATTAATTTTTTGAAATGAAATATTTATTAGTAATGAGAAACTATATAGGTATGTATATAAGAATCAATGCTTTGATACATACTCTGTTGTATCAATTACAACCTTTTTAATTATAGTAGGATAGCAAACAATTACGTCTAAAAATGCGCTTTCACGAATGCAAAGACGAGATCTGTAAGAGCAAATTTTTTCCAGTTCATGGATCCTATCGTTTTTTTGTTAGGACCATTTTTTATTTCTATCTATCTATTCCTTTATCTCTTTTTCTCTCGCTTCTACTTTCATATACGCTCTTTCCCTTCCCTCCCTTCCCATCCTATGTCATTCCGTGCTCGTTCTTGCATACCGCTGACTCCGTCGTTTTATCTGATAGTCTGTTCTGATTTACAGTCAAACTTCTTATCTGACAGATTCCCCTATCGGCATTATGGTAGGGCTCTATCGAGAAAATATTGATAAGGAAAAATGATAACAGGATGAAATTTGCAACTCTATAATATGATTCCACAAAAAATAATAGGTACATCTTTAATTTTAGTTCGTGCTTCATAAAATATGAGTATATTATATGATAAAGATATTTAAAGATAATTTATTTAATTTTATTAAGTTTTATAAAGTTATGAATATACAAGGTATATGGATAATTTTCAAAAATATATAAATAAATAGGTCAAAGTTAAATAATTGATATATGTATACAAATTATGAAAAAGCTTTTTATCAATAATCAAGAGACACGGTCGTGGCTCGGCGCTAAAGAGGACGCCGAGACCGACCGTGTCTCTTTACGCGAGCTGGCGAGTTGCTAGTACCCAAGATTATTGGATTGCAATAATGGCTAAACCGATCAAGTTTTAAGTATATTTAATCGATAGCTTGGGTTTGAATTGTATAATAAAAGTGTTTTTATTTTT